GTGATCCTTCATCTTAACAGTGTCAAAATAAATTAAGGTTCACCAGATTGCAGTTTTCTAAAAATGGGGTTTAATCCTTTCCACCAAATGTCATATTTTAAAATTACAATTATTTTTTTTTAAAGATTTATTTATTTATTTGAGAGAGAGTGTGTGTGTGTGCATGCACGAGTTGGGGGAGGGGTAGAAGGAGAGGAAGAGAGAGAATCTCAAGCAGACTCCACACTAAGCATGGAGCGCCCCAGGGCTCCGAGATCATGACCTGAGCCAAAATCAGGAGTAGGATGCTTAACTGACTGAGGCACCCAGGCATCCCTAAAGTTATAATTCTTTTTACATTAGCCATTATTTTATGGCTTAGGTATTTATCTGAAACTGTTTCAAAAGCACTTGAAGCAACTAAAGATAAGAGGTAATACATGGCTGTTAAAGTAGAAAGTATAATATTAACCTGGTTAGCATCAGGATAATTTACACCTTAAGCAAGAAAAATCATTTGTGGCCAGTGAATAGTGTTTGTCGATAAACAGCTGGACCGGGAGCCTGATGAGCTGGGGGAGGGCAGTGAAGTTTGCTGTTTGGTGTCCTTCCTGCAGTGTCTCCAGGTATCCTTCCAGTGTCCTTCAAAAAATCTTCCTTATGCTTTGTCTTTCCTTCCCCTCCCCTCCCCACATGGGCTGGCATTCAGGGGAGATAAGCTTCCTGGCCATATCACTCTGGGCCATTTCTGAGTCCAAGGTCCCCTTCCTGCTCCTCTTTCACCCTGAGCTGTGTGGAGCTGGGGGCTGGGCTGGGCTTGAGGACTGGGGTGTGCAGGGGTATGGGGGGGCAGTGTCCTTGCAGCTCCAGCCCTCCCTCCTCTGAGAGGTTCCTGGATGAAAGGTTACTTGATGGCAGAACTCATGTCTTCCTTCATCTCTGTTACATGTGTGAGAATGAAGCGTCATAAATACAAGTTGTGTAACCCAGATCCTGGCACTTAGTTAAGTACTCATTGAAATTTGGTTTTCTTCCCTCTGACTTTTCACAAAACTCCTCTAATGTCTCTCAGGCTTTGAGGAGTCTCCCCGTTGGGCAGGTGAAGGTGGTGGCAGTGGGGGTGGACCTGGAGGCTAATATTGGTCCTTGTTCATTCATTATTTTTCAATTAAGATGGATTTTCCCAATATTCCCATGTCTAAGTGGATATTAGCAGAAATAAACCTTTGGGGATGACAGCATGGGATGTGTTCAGTTATATCCAGGTGTCCTGGGTTTGCCCAGAGTTTTATTTTTTATTTTATTTTTAAATTTTATTTATTTATTTATTTGAGTGGGGGAGTGGGAGAGGGGCAGTCGGGGAGGGGCAGACAGGGAAGGAGAATGACAACCAGACTCAGCGCCCAGTGGGGAGTCCAACACTGGTCTTGATCCCAGGACCCTGAGATCTTGACCTGAGCAGAGTTGGAAGCTTCACCGACTGAACCACCCAGGCACACCTACCCAGAGTTTTAATATCTTAGACTAGACATCTGGGCTGAAAGCAATCACTCCCAGGCACCAATGAGTCAGTCAGTCCTTGCTCCATGAAAAAAATTTAGTGGATCATTCAGGACAATCAAGAGTGAACAAAGGCTGGGAGAGGCTCTGCTGGGTGTGTGGTTGTGGAACTCTGAGAGACTGGTTTCCTCACCTGTAGAATGAAGACAATAATGACAACTCTACAGAAGTGGCACCAGGGAGGCTCTAGCCCAAACTAGTGTCTTAACACCTGTCACTTAGCAAATGAACACCGGAGCACTGGGCCGGTTTGAGGGAGCAAACAAGGTGGTTGAGTCTGATGTTTCTATCCCAGTGATGTTTCAGAGATGCATATGGGTTTGGGTAGGAAGAAAGAAAGAGCGGGGAAGATGGTGGAGGTGTTGTATCCACCCAGGGGCTGACTTGTTTAGGTTAGAGTTAACAGTCTTCCTGTTTCTCGGTGGACTGAAGTGTTTCCCGAATTTGGACAGGGCTGAGTAGCCAATGTGCTGCTGAAGTGAGTCCTCTGCACATGAGCTCAAGCAAAGTTTCCTGAGTGTTTACTGTGTGCTGGACACGTGAACAGGGCACACAGTGCCTCCCTTTGTGGATGCCACAGACATTCCACAGAAGATCGCGTGTCAGGGCTGTGGAGGAGAACAGGGTGCCACTAAAACCCCAGTAAGCACGTGTATGGGGCACATATGGGGATGAGCAGGTTGGTGAAGGCCCCTCGGAGGAAGGTCACTTTAGGATAGATGGGAACAGTGAGGAATTTGGGGGATGAGAGAGAGAGTAGGAACATCCAGTATTTTATGAGATGGCCGGAGGCTGGGAAAGCTCCATGAGCTGGAGGAGCCCACCCAGGCCAGTGAGGGAGCAGTGGAATGAGGTTGAGAGGAAGCGGGGGCCTGGGAGCCACAGACAAGAGGTATAGCAGGGGGATCCCTGGAAGAGATGAAGCAGAGCTGACATAAGCTGACTTGAGAGGATCATGGCTTTGGAGAGAAAATGAACTTGAGGAGGCGAGGCTGGAGGTGGGCAGGGGACACTCATGGGGAAGCAGGGACACAGGCGAAGCCTGGGTGAGGGGGGAAGTGAGGCTGGTGTGGAGCTAGAAGGTGGCCATGGATATGGATTCAAGGAAAGTCTTGAACTTTTTGGTACATTGGAAGTAGATGGGTGGGAAAGTGGAGTGTCAGGAATGACCCTTCAGTTTCAGGCAGACATAACTGGGTGAACCCAGGTGTCCTTTACTGAGATGGGGAGCTGCAGGAAGGGAGGGGCTGGAGAGGTAGGTCCAGCGCTCCATGGTTTTCCTTCAGAGACCATAGAATCTGCCTTTCCTGGTGCACACTGCGGCCTGGCAGGGAGGGGCTGAATGGTGTACCCAGGCCATGTGTGATAGTAAAGTACTAAGAAGCCATAAGGTGCTGTCCATTCAGCTGGGCAGGGCCAGAGTCCTGGAGCTGGTCCTGGAAGAACCTGATGCTCAATCTTAACCCCTCTGTTGCCAGGCTATGGGAAGCACCTGGGTCATCTCCTGATGAAGAAAAGCAAAGCAGCTACACTGAGGGCTTTTCAAAGACTCTTGCCATTAGGATTCAGAAACTACATAGACTATTCTTGGTAGTGAACAGTCCCGTGCAAAGAGTGAGGTATTAGTCTTGTCTGTGCCACACACACTCCCTGCTTCTGGTCTAGAAACTAGCCAACCTGGAGAGCAGCAGTTGTTCAATAAAGGATTGCTGAGTCTGCATCTCTGTGTGTCCCCCTGCAGAGTGGGTCAGTGTACCTGTCCCTGCCATGTTTCAGTGGCTCTGATCATGCTCTTTCCTTCCTGATAACTAGGGTGCACCATCCAGAGGGCAGGGCAGAGTCTGCTGCGATTTCTTGTTGTAAGCTTTCACTTTCAAATGGTGGAAGGAGTCAGCACAAGGAGTGCTGAGTGCCCCAGCTCCCTGTTTCAGGACAGGCCCCTGCAACCTTTCTCAGGCTCTGCTTCTCTCCTCTCCTGGGAACCACCTGCCTCTCAGACAAGAGGAGCCTGTAGCACCAGGGTTGGATCTGGAAGCAGGGTGTGGGGCTCGAGCAGCAAACTGCAGGTGCAATTTCTGAGAGCAGATTTGGGGTCGGCTGAGATTCTGGATGTTCTCACACTGTTGAGGTAGAGACGTTTATGAAGTCCCAGGTTTTCAAGCAGGTGAGTGGGTTCTGAAGACACTTGTTGGACAAGAGGAGGGAAGCTGGGAGCAGCTGGCTGGGAGGAGGAGGCTGAGGTCATGGTGGGACTGGGGGTGGTGGTGCTGGATAATAATGAGGTTCTGAGAAGACCCAGGACAACTACAGTGACGGCTGCACTTTATTCACTTATTTAATGACATCTCTGTAGCATTCCTAGGACAAGGCACTGTTCTAGTGACATGTACTGACTCTCCATACATAAATTCATAGGATTCTCCTTATACCTTGGGAGCCTGTTACCATCTGCATTGAGGAACTGAGGCAGAGCAGCTCAAGAAACTTGCCTCAGGTGATCCCACAGGAAGGAGCCGAATCTGGAGGACACATCAGCAGTCAGCCCCAGAATCTGTCCTTCCCAGGACCATCGGTTGCCCCCCCCCC